TCAAGACTCTGTGTAATTTCCAAAGCCTTCCCTAATTTATTCAACTTTATTCAAATAAAGTTCAACAGCTCTTTATTCCTCTTTAATCAATACTCAAACAGAGACCAGAGACCCGGACAATAACACAACAACGTAGCATATGCACAAGGGCGGCGCCATTCAGTCTGGTCCCGGGCAGCTTTTGGAATGCCCAGGACCAATGCAACGTCACAACAGTATTGATGAAGAAGCACAACCTAGGAACACCAATGAAAATGAAGGGCCTGATTCACTCAGAGAAGATCCATCTTTCATAGGGTTGAACCGTCAGTAGCAAGTTGTCTTCATTCCAATAAATTGTTTGTTTGCTTATTATCAACCTGTATGCTACCTCAGTCATAAAGTGACTCGAGTTGCTTCCAAAAATGTAGATGGCTACTATTCTCATCCCCTGTGGACATGATTGTAATGAGGAGGGGGGGAAACCAGTCTCACTGAAGAAATCTGCCTAACAAAAGCACAAAAGAGATGCACTAGGATAGTATGAGATTATTGACTTGCAAAACTAGCTTACATTTGAACAGGCCTTATGTCTGCTTCATGGTACAAGAGGGGACATCTATTTTAGCAAGATCAGTAAGCTGTTTTATTGGAGAGAAGGGAGGGATGCTATCGAGACTCTATTGTTTGTCATTGGAGACTCTGCTTGAAACTGAATTGGCTTTTGTTGAAATAAGTGATAATGTTCCCAGATAAGGATTGGACAATAGTCCTGGGATGAAGTTTGAAGCAAAGAGGCAAAAGAAATAATTACAGTACAGCAAGAAACAATACCCCCACCAAGTGCTGTTATTCTAATGCTGCTTTCCTTCTCAAAACAAAAAAGAAGTATATGGCATTGTGGTCCAAACGCAGCAGGAGTTAAATCTTACTATTGATTGTGTCTCCCATCCCTGCTATGTTCCAATGAATGAACATGAATTACATTTGCAGAGAAATTGGGAGAAATGCAAGTAGTCTGCAGGGAAGAATAGAAACACAAGTTAAAGGCTGCATATTTAAAATATTTATAATGTAAATGGGCCTGTGTTAAAACCCACTGAATTTCAAATATTTATGTGTACAAGGGGACAAAATCTAATATTAAGAAAAATGTATTAAAAGTTGCCAAAGGCACTTTTCTTCCTTAGCAAAGCTGAACATCCACAGATAAAGCCGTCTATGCTGTTGTCCAGAATGTATCTGTGCATTAGCTGACACAGTCTGCAAATGTTGCTTGGATTAGAATGTGTCTGCTTTTCAAAAGAGATCAGTTTGTTTCCAAACCATCTGTTTAAAACTAGATGTTCATCGTAAGATGGGAGAGCTATCACTCCCAGTACTCTTTCTCATTCAAGATCACCATATAGCTAATTATGGTACATTATTTCTATCTCGGGATCAATCACACAAAGTCACATCCTTTTCTTGCATCCTAAATTCTTCTTTTTCCTACAAATGTATCTTCCATCCATCCACATTTATCCACATATAAACATACTCCCATTTCCTTCTTAGCCCCCAAACTCGTTGATCCCTGACCCCTCTACTTTTGATGTTCTCCTAATCTTCCTTCCATGAAGATTGCCTGGCAGCAAGATCTCTCTTTCTCTTTTTTTTTTCAGACATTTTACACCATGTTTGTGTATTGTTCAAGGAAAAGTACCTCCACTACCTTAATTTCCTAACAATGTCTCAGGATTTTTCTTTGTCATATTTACTTTTGCTGCACACCCAGCCAACCCATTATAACACAACATTGTGTTTAATGTGATACAGTGGTTTTTGGTACCACTTGTTGAATATTAAACACTTGCACTTGGATAAATGTATTAACTGTTTGTGATTTATGAAGCCATGGGATGCTTCCATAATTTGTTCACTAACACTGACCTAGAGTTTTCTGTTTTAAATATAATAAAGAATTAGCGGTAACCCTCAACATATGACAACAATTGGGATTGGCACTAAGTCAGGTGGTGTTAAGAGAGTTGCATCCAATATGACAACCTGTTTTGCTGAGGTCTTTAAAGCAAATCCTCATGGCTGTTAAGTAAATTGTGTAGTCATTAAGTGAATCCAGCTTCCTGCACTGACTTTGCTTGTTGGAAGCTTAGGTTGCAAACGGTGATCACATGACCCTGGGATGCTGCAACCCTCATAAAAATAGGCTAGCTGCTAAGTGCCAAAATTTTGATCATGTGACTGTGGGGATGCTCCGACAGTTGTAAGTGCAAGGACCAGTTATAAGTCACTTTTTTCAGCTCCATCATAACTTCAACTTCAACTTGGTCAAAGGTCATAAGTTGAGGACTACCTGTAATGCAAGCTAAGTTCTTCAAACCAATCACTATGCAGCAGAGTCCAGGAGACAGAAAGGGAAGACCACACAGCTAGTATTGTGCCTGTCCATGTTTTCATAAACCGGAGGAGTTCTAGAAACCAGGATGCAGTTATTGAAAAGGACCTCTTCCCCTTATTCCAACTATCTTGCTGTCAGGGGCAGCAGCTAGGACACAGAGAATCTGCAAATATGAGCTCAATAGCCAGCTGGACATTATGCACAGCTTGGAAACAACCTGTTGTGGTGGTTTGAGTTGAATGTATGTTTTTGTTTTGTTGCATTTTGTTTGTTTCTTTTACTGTTCTGTATTTTATTCTCTATGATAAAACAATAAACTTATTTTAAAAAAAAGAAACAACCAAAAGCATTGGATCCTACATGTTAAATGTTGAATTTAATGGGCCACTCTTTCCTCTCTTTTTGTGTACACTATATTGTTGTTGTTGTGGTTTGGGTTGAATGTATGCTTTTGTTTTGTTGCATTTTGTTTGTTTCTTTTACTGTTCCGTATTTTATTCTCTATGATAAAACAATAAACTTATTTTTTAAAAAAGAAACAACTAAAAGCATTGGATCCTACTGACATCAAGAGGAGATATTAGGGTTCACATTGGTACAAAAAAAAATCAATTAAATTTAATTCTGGCTTCTTAGTAACTTTTGCAAACTGTAATACTTTTTCTTTTAATGCTACAAATAACTATTGTGCTACTGTAATGAATGGTTCCTCAATAGATTAAGTCAGGTAACTTAATTGTCCTAAAATTAAGTCTATCCATGCACCTACATAGTGAACTTATTTCTCTGACACTAATAGTTACAAACATGATTGATCTACTGTTTTCTTCTTTTTTAAAAAAAGAAAACTGCCCAATGTGACTGGCAGACACATTTCAGACACATTTCTCTGTCAGAAAAGGGAGGGGGCAGATTTGAAAGATTTTGTGCTTTCAAAGAATGACCTTTCCTGATAATTAATTTGCTGTTTCCAACACCATCTGCTGTCTCACAACCACATCCATCATAGCTGTAAAAAAAATTAAAACTCAATTAAAATGAAAACTGATGTCACAAATTTTTCAGAGGAAGATGCAAACTTCTTAGGAGCAAAGCTATTTGGCCCTTCTTGGTGGTTTACAGCTGTGCCCACTTTATAAGATTTGCAATAAACCACAATAAATGCAAAAGGCTCTGGGGAAGCGTCTTAACTACCAATACATTTTTAGAGACTTTTATGTCAAACATCACATTATTGACTGGGATGATAGGTGGAAACTGGCCATAAAACCTGGATGAAATTCCACAGTTGGACCTCTTCGATCTGGGCCATTGTCAGCCATCACAGAAGAAGCAAACAATTTTTACAGCACTCGCTGTCTTATATTCTACTATCATTTCTAATGATGAGTCACAAAACCAATTTAGAATTTCTCAAGAAAGACATGGCCACCCAATTTCCCTGCCTATAAACAGAGTAGATTGGAAAATTTCAAAGAGCCGTTTCTAATGTAAAATTTACCTATTGTTTTTTTTTAAAAAAAAAAATCGTTCTGAATATTTTTCCCTGTTTAATCTTAATGGTCTCTCTCTCTCTCTCTCTCTCTCTCTCTCTCTCGGTCTAGGACTTCCAGGTAAGTAATCCCAGCCATTACAGAGACTATTCCCAGCATTAGCAGAAATCTATTGGTGCTGGGTAATGTCCAGCTTCAGAATGCAAAATGCAGCTCCATCAATTTTCAGTGACAAATTAGGAAGGTTAGATTAGTTTTCCATGATGTCTATAGCTGTTTAAAGGAAGTCTCTTTCCTTCATGTGTAGAAGAAAATCAGAGCTGCATATACATGTTTACACTACTGAAAGGAATAAATCAGATGTTTAAACATCTAGATTTGGTCTTAAAATTATGAATGTAGATTATGAATAATAATATGAAGAGCTATAAATAGCCTTTTACACACACTTATATAAGTATAGCATATCGAACAGAAATAGTTAACAATAAATTAAATGCATACTTGGGCAACATAAATATATTCCTAGTAATATACAGAATTAAATATGTCTATATGGCATATTCTATTCTGGCCAATAATTTGGGACATCATTTATGACAGCAGTAAATATCTGACTAGTGACATCTCATTGTTCATATAATTACAGTGTGACACCTTATTTATAATTTGAACATTTGAATAAATGGTGGGATACATTAAAAGCTATAATTTTCTACAGTGTGTGAACATTGATAAACATTTAAGTGCCTGCTTTAAAAAAGGTTGTACTATCTTCATGGGATTCTGTATAATTTAAGAGAGAGAAATCTGACATATACAGTAATCTGGAAGTCAAGTTAACTCCTTAACCATGCAACCAGCAAACATAAAATTAAAAGTATTAGGGATAACATTCATGGAAGAGGTCTGTGACATACATCAAGATGTTTAAATTCTAAGGTTGTTGGGCATGCTTTGTAGCCTACAGTTACAAAGATAAATTGATTGTGTTATCTAGAGGGAAGGAGGAAAACGCAATGAAAACACAGCTCAGAATTTCCATGGACAGCAATCAGTGTGAATAGAAACTCAGATATTTTACCAAACCCAGCTAAACAGGCTGGGTTTTATATTCCTTTGTATCCAATCACCCCAGATTCCTCAAGGGCCCTGGATGCCAACAAGAACAGTTATTGATGTCATGAGGCACTGAGATGGATTATAAAAAAGCTCTGTTTGCAGAGAGGAGATAGGAGAGAACCTCAGTTAAGACGAGTATTTGCAAAAAAGAAGACCACGCTTTCATTAGGTAAGCATTCTATACATTAATTTCTATGCTAGAAAGCTTTTCAGTAAAACAACTGTGTTTGCTTTTCTTCCATTTCTGCTTATATGAATATTGTGTGAAATTTGCAGGGCAAAATTTAAACAGTATGCTAAAATTGTAGTAGATCTAAGTTAAACCACATATATTCATCTTATAATAGTCTTGTGCATATACCTGACAAAAGTAAATTTATAAAATCTAATGCCATATTAATCAATACTTGATTCTCAAAAATCTCTAAATAGTTGATATGACTCAAAGCCAAAGAAGGAGTGATATCTGCCATGCAGTTCTCTTATAGCTTATTTCTGTTTAATAAATAGCTGCCTTCAGGAGCTGTAACCTCCTGCTATGGTCCTGAGTGAGTTGGAAGCTCTCCTCCATATGTGCCTACTGCTCACTAAGGAAAGAAAGCTCTTCAGTTACTGCCATTACAAATAGCAGATGGGGAAACATTTTGATCTGGATCATGGTGGGATCAAGGAACCACAACTCTACCAACTATTCCTTGGGGAAATATCAGTCAGTCGGATATTTCTCCAAGCATGAAATCTATGAATATTTAAAGGACAAATAAAAAGCAAAAATATGAGTGCCAAATGCAACACCTTGTTGGGTCTTTCCAGGCTGACAGAATAACAGGGTCAAAAACAATTGTGAAACAAGACAGAAAGATTTTTCCTGAGCTTTTCTGTGTCTTTGTATTGTTTTCCCACTCTTTCTGTCTTTAAATGAAGAGAAAGGGGGGTAATGAAAATGGATTCCATTCCCAAGATAAAAATTTGGACACTTTTGTTTTAGAAGTACTACTAATTTATAAACAGGAAATACACATAGTCAGAATATTAGTGTAGGGAAGATGGACCCAGGTAGCCAAGCAAAGAAGAGTATGTATTCAGGGATGTAGCCAATCAGGCTAAAGGAAACTGGAAGGCTTTCCCTGCCCTAGCAGAGAAATCACAAGGAAAACCTAGAACAAGCAAAAGAGGTAAACTGATTTTGAACCCTGCTGAGATGACAAATACGATAATGTATTTGTGCAAAAGTAGATATCACTGTTAAAAATGAGAAGCAGATTGTATTATACAGTTATGAATATCCCCTTTTCAATCATGGCATACCAGAAGCCTACAGTTCGCTGAGCTTTATGGTGCAATTGGCTCAAACCAATATCCAGAAATTCACTCTGAAGCTTTAGGCTCTAGCATCCATTTTCAGATATGTAACAGCTGCTCATGAAATGGTGTTTATTTTGTTTTATATTTGATTATATTATATTATTTTACCACACAGAATGTTTCTTTACACTATGATTCATGAAGCCCTGTTTGTATGCTGTGGGTCAGAGTGGGTGACAGACGTCTTGTATAATATTCTTGTTTTTTCTAAATGATCGTTGTTTTTTTCTGGACATTTGAGAAGTGTGGTTATTATATTTTAACTGTTTACTTTGTATACTGTATACTTCAGATCCAATCTGTACTCTTGAGTAAAGTCACCACAATATATTAAATATAATTTCTTGCATTACCTCAACAGAAATATCCTTGATGTTTGAAAGGTGGGGGGAAAGGTGTTTGGATGCAATACATAATGTGGATTTTGAATGCAATGTAAGCCTACATCCAGTTATACATACTGTAAAAATACTGTGTATATATTTAATTCCTTTTCTTCTACCATAGCCTAAGTTCTAAGAAGATTGGTTTCATAAACTGCACAGCATTATAATATTAGTACATGAAGGCTTGATTGGAATTAAATCTGACCCAAGAGCAGTATCCAAATAATGGTGAAAGCACTTTTAAAAAAATTAATTAACTCTCATGATTAAAGCTTCCAAGCATTTTGACCATGCTTCATTAAGTTTGTTTCATGAAAGAGCATTTAATAATTAAAACAATTCCTAAAAGTTTACATAATTGTTCCTTGCAATGTAGTATTGTTGTCCAGTCCTGTTGAAAACTAGTTTATAATGGTCCCTTAAACTGAGGTTCTTATAGAGTGGAAGTGATAAACCATGTTTTTGGTAGTATCACCTATCAAAGTTTATTAAGGAGCTAAGCACACTAATGGAAATTGACCAGATGAGTTTTTAGACTTCTTCTCACTACAGATGTCTGATTTGATCCCTCTGTCAAAACATATGGAAGGAGAAGAGGCTAGAAAATATAATAACAATACAAACATCTCTTTTTTTTTGCAAAAACCAGAACTTTTTTCTCATCAAGGGATGAATTATAAGAAAAAATGAAAAAGATAAATCCATCCTACAAAGTTTTCTATTTAAATACCTAAATATCCTGTAAACTACAATAAACATTTCATTTTAGCAATGCTGAGTGACAGTTTCAAATGCCTTGAAACTCAGTTATAAATGTGGTTATTTCCTGGTAACAGTCTGGTGAGTTTGCAAGATCCTTCAGTCTTTATTTCATCAGAGAATAATCTGGTATTAGAGAAAAAAACAAAGCTTCTAATCCAGGGGTGTCAAACTCGCAATGTCACATGACGTGTCACAACACACCATGACTTTTTTGCCATTGCCGGCAATGGGGTGGGCACCGTTTTGCTATGATGCATCCAGCCCATGGGCTGGCAGTTTGACACCCCTGCTCTAATCTCTTGTCCCAACTACAGGCATGGATCAATTTATATATATAAGGGACAATTTCCACTCCTTCCTTTCTCATCTCCTTGAGTCTTCCAATACTCCAATTATCAGGTTTGTCACATTATATTTGTTTCTCTGGGTTGTGATAAATTATATTTGATTGCCCACCAAGGTGGGCATGAACTTTGCTTGAAACAAGTTCCAATTCTGGTCTGGAGGACAAACATAAAGTATAAACCAGGTTTACATAACACATTGAACCATAGTGTGAACCATATTATGTCAGCTAAATAATAGTTTGCTTATTTGGATATAATAACAACCAATCATTTGCCTGCACCTAGAAATGAACAGGGAACTGGAAAATTGAAGGCTGGAGCAAGATGAAGTTCACATGTAAGTCTAAGGATGGCCACAATCTTAGAATTACATATGAACTATACCATGCTGGAATCATATATCACACTAAGCTATTATGTGATTTGATTCATTCTGGAATAACGGGGTACGTTAACTCAAACACTGCAGTCTGTAAAGCATGAGCTTTAGCTTAATAGTAAATGTGACCTAAGTCACCCTGTTTTGTTAAGCAACCAAAAAAATGTAGAATGATGTGAGGACCCAGAAGTAGCCTTCTGCTTAATCTAATCACACTATCAGGTGTTCCTTAATTAGAAGACAGACTGCCTTCTATAAAGAGCTACCTGATTCCCTCTAGTCATCTTCCAAGAATGAACAGATGTAGGAAACAACTGTGTATTTTTGAAAGTGCACTTTAGTTGCTGAACAGCTCAATTTTAAGCTAAATTCTCAATAATTACTTATGAAAATACTGGAATATGGCAGAGGTATGGGGCAAACACAGATGTCCCTCAGTAACTTAGAAAAATTACTGGTTTAGAGAAAGATTTTGACTTTGTTTTCAGCTCAGAGAAGATTGTTTTCTAAACATATCTAAAAGGGCTGCCATTGCATATCAGTAGGGCATTGGTGATTTACAAGTCTAAAAAAGATTTTGTATTATTGAGTTTAAATAAGAATTCATCAAAATCATAATTTATATTTTAAATTATTTACAATTTAAAATGCTATTTGTTTAATATATTTACATTTTGTCTTTTTATTCATTTGATAGTCAAGATAGTTGGCACTTAATATATTGCACGCTGGACCACAGATACCAATATAGGAATAACATGAAAAAGTGTCCTTATAAATAACAGTCTTGTTTATCTTTTTTTGAATTCCTATTCTATACTGAAAAGCAGACATGTGATTAAAACTATCAGAAAACTACCCGCCAACATGGGCTACTATTGAAGGTGCCAGACTAATATAGCACCTAAAACTATTGGCAGAAGTTTTTGCCTCTGAAGAATGATTTGTAAAAGTTAAGTCATAATGCATGGGTCATCAAAATGCTAATTGCATTGGTTCAAATAAATGTTAATACAGATTAAGTTCTAAAATGGTCATGTTCACTGGGAATAATGGAAATGGAAGTCCACAAATACCTGGAGAGGACAGGTTGAATAGACCATTCTAAACAAGAGATACATGTTTAGTCTGCATATGCCAAGCCACATTTAACATGATGTACTGAAAAAGCTCATACTTGGCTGGGTTCAACTGTACAGCAAGCAAGCACGGTTTATGAAAAAAACAGTGGTTGGAATAAAGCACTGTGCTAAACTCAAACCTAGCAAGGCGTATTATGCTTTATCATAAATTTTCATAGTGCAAATAAAAACCAAAAACATCAAGATTTCAGGATGCATCCTACATTGTATTTAACTCCAAGAAAAAATATAAATAAGGTCTTAATGATGTGCTTTGTTAAGAACATGGCTTGCCGTCATATCGTTTTTTATTTTATTTAATGTTAAGGGGAAAAAATTATTTAGGCCAGAGTACAAAAGAAGATTTTTCTCCATTTGTAAAACAGTGTGGAAAGAGTTAAAACTCCCTTTCTCATTTGCTGCAGTAAATCAGGGGCTCTACAATTAGAATTCTAAAATAAAAATAAAAAGCTGATATGACTGCAAGCTATATTAACATACACAGATAATCCTACACTGATCTATAATTGGGAATTAAAATCTGGTTATGACCTGTATAGATATTGCATGTCAAGTCTTAAAGTGACTTTGTTTTTGTACAAGAAAGGTTGTGTGAACTTAGCTATTTTAGTTGATAAAATCTAACTTGGGATTTAGCATATTGGAAGGATTCACCAAAACCTCTTTTTTCTCACTCAAACATATGATTAAAGAAAACCTAGCTTAGGAAGGATGTGCTAATTGGCATGTTAATTGCAGAAAGTCAAAAGGCCTGAAAGAAAATATTTTTTGCCAAAATAACCCCACAAGAACAGTGTACTGAAGCCACAGGACTTTATTTCATAGTTATCACATTTGTGGGAGGTTCCTTCTAACCAGGAACAAGCAACAATTGTTAACTTTAACTAAGACAATCATTTCTAGCTAATATACCACCGCAGTTGAAAAGATTAGACAAATATGGACTCAGAAGTCAAATAAAGTTGCTGGAAACATAATATCTTGTGATCAGTGTCATTTTTCTCATTATTATTAAATTTGCTTTATAAAGCTTCAGGATGGTTCCAAAAAAGGTGATAACAAGTCTTCTGCTCCTCTACATGACAGCCATCTTGGCCAAAGAGAGTGAAGGGTACCTTGCCTTCTACAGCCGTGAAGATTTCAGAAGAATGCAGGTGAGCTTCTTGAGAAATGGGTCAACGACCAGAAATATTTAGCTGAATGTGGCAGAGCTTTAAATCCAGTTCCAGGGATCTCCAAGAAGATCTGGACAACAACAAAACCATCCTTTTTCTGTCCAGAACTCCAGAGAACAAGAGCTAGTCAACTTTAGACTATACTGAGCTAAACAGACCGATGCCTGACTCAGAGTAAGATACCTTCTTATATTCTAGTGATTGGATTTCCTTCTGGTTCTTCTAATCCTATCTGTTCACCATTTTACTGCATTATTTTTCCTTCACTAGCAATATTTTACTATCATTTCGTTCTCTAATCATTGGAAACCAACTAGAATCTAGAGTCAGAATATGGCTTTGAGTTTAATAATTTAGATTTGCTTCCTACCTTCAAATTTCACTGAAGTAGAACAATTACCTATTTCCTAAAGAGTTATGATTATTCAGGTCTTGGCACTGTTGGGCTCAATCTCCAAGGCAGCTGTCACACCCTCCAAATGAACCCATATGCATTCCCAAATTAATTCAAAGGAGACAAGATAATAAGAGTTTCTTTAAGCAGAAATTGCTGAAAAATTGAGCAGACCACTGTCCATAGTCCGAGAGAAAAGCTTAACTCAGAAAATGCCTATTAAGATATATAAAACCTGCAGCTTTGCATGCATATAATGATGTCATAATGAAAGCAGGGCACAAACCACAAGGCCTTATTCAGTCTTCTAAAGCCTGGGATGCGACCCTCACAGCATCTTCAAAAGATGCAAGTGAATTTCATTTGCAACAGAAGGAAAAAAGTAGAGTTGGTCCATATAAATGTATTATTTATGCATGCATTTTCCTCATGGATCAACATGTTATGAGTGTTTTTCATCATACTAATAGCACTATATTAATCTAATTAACCTATGTCCTGTCTAATTAACCACCTTCACATTCCTGGCTTTCTCCATTGTTTGGTATGTGGCACACTAACAAAATATCCAATAACCAACTCTGGCCTCCACATGAAAAAGGTTCCACACACTAGTCAAAATATGTTCCCTAGAAGCTCAACAGTCAGCTAATATATAAGAAAAGATATTAAAGCCCAGTAACTAGACCCAGCACTACAAAATGAAGATTATATGAACTTCCGGTGTTTTAGCTCCTATTGATCCTATAGATTAGAGAACGCCAAAAAATCTGCAGCACAGGAATATCTGATATATAGCGTTTATCAACTTTGTGCCCACCCCCAAATGTGCTGCACTTTACTTTGGTCATGTCACCTGGAATTACAGGTTGATGCCCAACTTACATGTAGAACACAGGTGTCAAACGCACCACGTCACGTGACATGTCACGACGTATCGTGACTCTTTTTGCATTGCCAGGAATGGGGTGGGGGCGGTTTCAGTATGATGAAACCGGCCCGCAGGCCGGCAGTTTAACACCCCTCCTGTAAAACATCAATTTGCAAACATTGATCTAATATGTAGAACATGGAATAAAACTGAGCTTATGATTTAAGGCAATGATGAAGAGATTGTGGTATGGCCTGTAGGTTCAAATCTCACCGGCTCAAGGTTGACTCAGCCTTCCATCCTTCCGGGGTAGGTAAAATGAGGACCCAGATTGTTGGGGGCAATGTAAATATATACATACATTGCTTACTGGTGTACACCGCTTAGAGAGTGCTTGCACTTAAAGCGGTATATAAGTCTCATAAATAAATAAATAAATAAATAAATATTCTTCAATAAGTAAACCAAGACTCTGAATGTAAAAATAGGTTTTAACACATGCTTTAAAGGGGTCTGTTGACAACTGTATCACCTATGTAGCTACATTTGAGATGGCAATATAGCTATTTTTGGCTTTTTAGGCTTTGCCCAAAAGCTGGCCGACTTGATTATTGTATTCTTCCATACATTTCCAGGAGAAAGAAAAGAATCAAGCACAGAAGAAATCGCTTGACACAAGAGATTTTTTTGAATTTGCAGAAGATGAAGGGCAAGTAATCAAGGTACACTATCTTTGCATTTTAACAACTAAGCAGTTAGATATAGCAAGACAGTTTTTCTGAAATATAAGTTAGTGTATTGGGGGGCTTACATATCGAGAAAGCTAATGAAAGCCAAATTTATTGCAATATTCTAAGACTGAGACATTCACAGGCAAAATCTGTTTTATTCTTTTTTGCATGACTTGATATCCTATAGGTTTCCAAAAACACTTAACTGATAAAGGTTTCCTTGCAGTACAAATACTATTATTATTATAAATTATTCTAGTCTTTAAAATGAGATGTACTTGAGCTGATTGAAAGAAAGCTTATCATAAATCACTAGTCAAATATGAATGTTCATTTCTTTTCTTTTGAGCTCACATGAAGTTCAGTTCATTTGACTCAGATGTTATCATTGATGAGTTCAAGTAATCAGGGACCTTTCCCATTAATCAGAAAGAAGAACATAATACTGAATAATCCAGTTAGTAAGGTGCCCAACACCTGACAACAAGATGGACAAATACCCCCATCTTGACCAATCCTTAGATATTCAAGGGACATTCCAGTGATCTCTTCGGTCCTGTCTATGCACTTTTACCCTTCTACATCCCTCTGTCTTGCCAACCATTGTAGTTGTTGCGATGTTCAATACAATGCCTCACTCTATTCAAGGTAAAGGCAATTAAATTCTCTTGCTTTCTCCAGTACCCATTTTATGGATAATAATTTCCTTGTGTCCCTCTGACTTTTCCAAAATCTATTTGTTTATGTGGTGTTTATCTCTCCCTGTCTGATTATTTGTACAATCTTAAGCAAAACATTGCTTGTGAGACAAATTAGTGCAATGGTTTGCTAATTTGCACATTCTATTGTATCTCCATTATTCAGATTGGGTATGTACATCATTCTTTCACAATCTTCAGGCCACACGGTCTTGTTCCATACTGAGCTTTAAACAGCCAAGATGTTAATTCATCTATAGCGGGTGTTTTCCCATTTGACAGGTGATCTATTGCCTCTTGTGCTTTTGTTTCTAATGCAGCAGGTGCAGAAATAGATTCTGTGTCTTCTATTGTTTCTATCACACTCTAATCCTGTTTATAAAAGGTTTCCGTACTGACTTTCCACTTTCCTTTAATCTCATTTGTCTGTATTAGATAATTTACCTGATTATTCTTAAATAGCTAATTTACCTTAGACTGTCCTTTTCTGACTTTCCTCTATCAATTAACATTCTTTTTTGGGGGCAGGGGTGGAACTGAAATTTGAAGACAAGTGAAAGGAAATAGATGTAAACTACAGAAGTACCGCACTCAAAACTAGAAAGAGGAACACTATTTCTCCCCCAAGGCAGCAGTCATAAAATTCCAATCCCTGTGCCCTGATAAGTAAACCATGTTTAACGAACATTTTGCAGGCCAGGAAGAAAGGGGCCATTTTGATATTAGTAGGCAAGCTATTCCAAAGTGCAGCAGCCACAACAAGAAAAGCATGCTTTCAAGGTCCAAGCAGATTACAATTCATGAGAAAAGCAGCAATCTTGGCCATCTTAATCTTATTGGGCATGCAGACATTACTAACAGAAGGAGGTCCACAGATATCCAGGCCCTGAACCATGAACCAGCACCCTGGATTGCACCCAGAAGCCAACTAGTAGCCATTATAGCTCTTGAATAGAGGAGTTACGTAGGCATATCACTATTCAAGCCATCTCATTTCAGATTAAAGTATCCTTGCTCTCTTAAACAATCAGAACAGGGAAAAAGAAATGCAATGTGAATTTAAGCTTGGCATACAAATTCTTTTCTCCCACCCACCAGTATGCTGATTATCTGTAACTATTGCCTTCAACTGACAACTTGTACATCTTGTACTATTTTTTTGTGTATTTGCTTTAGATGAATAAATGATGCACCTTGAATCTGCTATATATTTTTGTGCCAGCAGACTATCTAGCATGCATCATGTTTACATATATCACACCATTTCCAGCAGTATGAATGGAGATATAGAACATTTGTAACAATGCTGAAAAGGTAATTCAAGTGCCTTCATTTCAAAGGCCAAATTTATGCCCATTATTTCCTCCTTTCCATTTATCTGTATAACGGCAGCAACACTATTCTGAAAATGTAGATACTATCTACCGTTCACTATTAGCAAGTCCCAGCAGATAACATCCAAAGGGTGCAATTATGCAATTATGAAAATTAATCTTGTCTCAGTCCCTCAAAAGACTGCATACAAACCACAAGAGCTCTTTAAAATGTCCCAATCCATCCCAAAATTATTACATCTCTCATGATTCTCTTTAATCCTTTGGCATTACTTATTGAAAATGTTCAAAAACCATGAACAAGCAACAGGAGCAAATATGTTCATTTTATTTGCATTCTATTCTCTGAACATGGGGAGTTTTTATCTTTTAGGGGAGACTTTTCCATGCTATGTGAGGGACTCCATATTTCTATATATGAAAGCTAATGTTCTTGCTATTCCAGATGTTTTAATCAATCACAATCCAATAGCTCAACAGAAACTGATATGCATGCCATTGTGAACTGGGCTATAGCCTCAAGGACTTCAAAAAGGGATAAACTCTCAAAACCTGTAAGAATAAAAAACACTGGGATTGACATTCACAATCACTCTTTGAAAAAAGCAGTTTAACCCTATTTCACTGGTCACATCATCAAGCTAAAACCTGAATCAAGAAAACCCTTTAGCAATAATATTCATCAATAACTAATTCCCACTTATGAGAATATCTATCTAGTATACATGATCCGTAAGTGGTTAAAATGTTGGCTTGCCTTATATGTTAACCAACTTCTCCTTCATAGATGATTGCTCCAGTAGAAATTGGAATACATCTGAACTCCAAACAGTTGGAAAAATACCAAGATGTCTTGAAGGAGCTCCTGACAGAGATGTTGTCAGATACTAAGAATGGTACTACAGAAATCTTAAAATTGGCTTTTCTCTTCCCTTGGAAATTATCTAAGTCGTGAGATTTCAGAAGTACCTTGTGCCTTGTGTCACATTTTTACAAGGAGCTGTGTGGGTTCTGTGTTTTTCTTTTTAAGAAATAAATATCCCCCTTCCCTACCCCCACAAATAATACACCAATATACTGATGTTTGCATTAGCATTAAAAAGTAGAAATAGTATAGATCTGTATCAGTGTTTTGGAAGATTTTCAGCTATTAAAAATCATAAATGTTCAGAAACCAACCCACAAGCCCAGAGAACGAACCTTCACCCTCATAGAGAATCATATGTCTGATGAAAGACAATTGTATTGTCAGTTTTCATCTTCTGTACTGCATTTCTAGTTAATTTTAGGCAACTTTCACTGAAGTTATAAGAAAATTTAAAACATGTGATTACAATGGATTATGACTTGGTATCTTCTGCTTCAGAGTAGATATTGCACTTTCTCACTAAAATTGTTACCAAATTTAGAAGTTAAGTGAACTCTAAGCTTGCAGGTTGCTATAGATCATGTGTACATTTGATGAGGAAGTACAATAAAATATGATTATCTTTCAATTCCTGTACATTGGCATAAACATAAATATTTAAAAAGCTAATATACCAAAATCCAAATTGAAGGAAATTGTGTAAAACCAGGAATTAGGAAATACTAGATGAACAATTATATTAAAAGTCTCTACAGTGTGTTGTAGCAAAATGTTCCAAGTAAATCCATAGCCAGAGCAGGATTTTCAAAACTGTAATGATGGCTTGTTAATTAAAAATGTATATATCATACTGTATGCAAAGTTAGCAATAGTCTAAAGAAGGAAAATTGCAGTCCATCATACATATGTGATTCCTACCATAATGTCACCTGATATCATGTACTTCTTTGTTTTGCTTTTTTAACTGAAAGATCAGAATGAGTCAAGCTAATGTCTGCACAGTATTAATTCACAATAATGGCTTTTGGCTGTTTCATCTCTGTAGCTAACTGAAATTCTAAGAATTAGAACACTGGAAGAATTTCTGCAAATACACAAGAGTCAATGTACTGGAAATGCTATTGTAAGGCACTGTACTGCAGAATAACAATATGTATGCAAATCAATAAAATGTGAAGCTTCAGTATATGATTCTTTGTTCAGTGTATGTCAGAAAAATTTAAAAAGGCACCCAAGGATACAAAAGAAAGTTGTTGTTTCAAATAACTCTATATTTGTTTTCTAAATAACTTTCACTCAACACATCGCTCTTGTAAGCTCAGATTAATTCACGTGCATTCCCATGCATTCTTATTTATGTATATATTTAATTCATCATAACTGAATCAGACTGTTTACAATAATTCAATGGCTTGTGTTTCCAAGCAGACATCTGATGGGCTTGCACTTCTATGACAATGAAACCAATTAATCTGATAGATAATACCCAACCGTATGGTATGTTATACATAATTCTGAAATTTCCCAAAGTGAATAATAGTTATGGTCTTTTCATATTCAATGTTCAACAACCCTTGTTACTTAAAGTTTTTGCAATAATACAACCATCAACAATTCTTTTCCATTCTTATTTATTTGAGCTATGCAGTTTCAATATCATTTAATTCTTCCCTTCTCTTAACACATGCACAGTTGACTATACTACAACATGTAAAATTTATGTATTTGTTTGATATGTATAAAATTATGTATTTATACTACAACATAGAAAATTTAAAACATAAGAATCAGTCATCTTTCCTTCACTAGACAATGCATCCTCAAAATCCCTAACTTATAGAATTCTCCCATAACCAATAAAAAACCCACACTGAACCCTACCACACATTATTTATTATGAACATGTCACTGCCCAAAGCATACCACCAACAGCATTCCAGTTGTATATAGTGGATTTCCATCAATCTCCAGAGAACATACTTTTTCTTTTTCCAACTTCAACCAACAAATGAGGAACTAGAATAGGGAAGAGATGGAGCAGCAGTGAAAAGTGGTCCTCTACAGGAGAGAACATAGAGAGAAAGAGATAAACAAAGGGAGCAAAGGACATTGTGTGGGTGGTTTGGTAATTGGGATAATTCAACACATTTCCCAAAGAATAAGTAGTGCAGCTCAGATTGAATGTTTCCTCCAAACTTTTCATATCTAACCATTCTTTCTCTAAAGTTGTGCCATGAAGCTAATATTTAGGAACTATTGCTACATACTTTACTGTGCTCATTCTGCTCTTGATCTTTGGTATGTTGTGACCAAAATACCACTGCCATTCTTTATAAAGCCTGCTGAAAGTTCTTTATCTGAAAGCCTCATGTTTCAAAAAGAAGAATAGTGAGGACAATAGGGGAGAAACATGTGTTGTTTTTCAGATATGATCTGAATGTTTTCCAGTGCAACTGATTATGATGTGGCATGGCTCATTGTTCTGCTTACTAATATTATTAATAATTATAAGCTTTTGTATAGTAAAGAATAAAATGCATTTGACATGCATCCTTCATTGGGCACAAGCTTGCACAGATATACAGGTGATGAACACAGGAATAATAGATCTTTCTTAGAGGCTTGGCATACATATTGTAAAGTATAATACACTCGGCAAACTTTTCAGCCAGTGGAAAGCACCATACAGTGCTGGTACCAAAAAGTAAAATTAAAAATAACCAAGTCTAGAATGATTTGATTAGTTACTCAGAAACTATGCATTGGTACTCAAAAACTATTGTCAAAATTTTGTCCTTAACAGAATGAATTTTTAAAAGAGAAATAAGTTACCAAACTGAACCTGGGATAAAGACCAGTATTCTAATTCCATTAGAAGTAGAGATAGGGGAGGGACTGATGTATTGCTCAAGAAACAGCAAATGAACAGCAATCTTTCCAAGAACTGAACTAGACCATTCTCGATTGTGCTTTTTATTACCAAACAACCCAGTCTCTCTCTTTTTTTTAAGACTTTGACTTCACATATGACCTTTTAGAAGGTCAGACATTTCATTACCAACTAGGTAACTTCATCAGTGTCAAATACAAACCTCCCATAAACTGTACAGCAGGATGGAATATAGCCCAAGAGAGTGGGCAAAAAAATGATACGGTTCATAATCATGGATGCACGCTCAGACTGAATAAGTATCAGCACGCCATGGAAAACCTCAAGGAGCAGCTTGAACAGACCATCACTCCTGAGCAACTTGAAAGGCTGAACTAACACAGATGATGTTACCCAGTTTGGTAATGAAACATCTGCAAGAAAACCACCAAGATCAGAGAGCACCAAGGAGCCCACAGTTCAATCCTGAGCTACAAATATTCTTTTTTACCAATACTTCACTTTATATTAATTGCTGACAACATCATTATTTGACATCTAGGTGGCACAGCTTTCACAGCAGTAACATCTGAAAGGTAGAGAAAGCAAACTCTTTGACAAATGACACGGGTGCCACAAATTAAATCAATCCAATTTCATACTTTCAAGTTAAGGTAAAATCTTCTGTCATTCTGAATTGTTGAGAAATCAGAGCACAGCTACCAAAACAGCACATACCCCTCCCTTCTGCTCTCTATTATGGATACTAGTTTTCAGGGAATGCTTGTATCTAATTGATAGCAGCAGTCCCAGTGATAGCACTGTTTCCATGTTCATTAATATACTCAGTAGTATTTACATACTATTTCACCCTCCAGTATAGATTCAAGCAGAGATAATATTCATAGAAATAACAGAATAACAGAATTGGAAGGGACCTTGTAGGTCTTCTAGTCCAACTTCCTGCTCAAGCAGGAAATCATATAGAGTTTGGTATGATTGTCCAATCTCTTCTTTAAAACCTTTTTTAAAAGTTTAATAAATTTTTGGTTAGGTGGAAATCAATTCAAAGAATTCTGGCAGTTTAAAATTATGAACATTTATTCGTCTGTTCAGACATTCATCCAGTTGGTACTTGATTTTTCTATTCAAGCAATACTTGTGTTCCTTTCCACCAATATGAAATAATATGAGTCTCCTCCAATTTCTACCTCTCAAAGGAAGATTTTCTAAGGAATATAATTACTCTCTCTCAAGAATACAACTGATTTTACAAGAAAATCACTTTTTTCAGTGTTCAAAATATGAAGAAATATCCCTTCTCTCATTCTTTCCTCTGGAATAAGCTTATATTGCAAACATAGATGTAAATTGAACTGTGCCTGCAGCCTCTGAACAGTGGGTAGCCACTGGTCTGTCAATCCTGTGTCTTGCTGAGCCCTAGGAAATCCCACCCATTTTTCTCGCTGCTCATCTGCAAGGAGCTCAGTGGAGCGCAGGTTAAGATTTTTAGAGCTGATCTAAATCAGAGATATCACTGATCTTATCCTCCCTAATCCCAAATGTTCAATACCCAAAAATATGTTTTTTACATTAATTGGGGATTTTATGGGGGGGAGGAATCTAGCACCATAAACAATTATAAATTGTAGCTGTTCAAATTTAAGATGCTATATTTTTTTTAAAAGCTTGTAATGTAATTTTAGTAAAACAATATCACTTTTAACCATGCATTTGCCTAGCAATATTAATCCTTATTTACTTGACATAAATGGTTGTTTTTGCAATTCTTTGGCTACAGCTGGTCCCGTCAGATTAGGCTGGTTTGATTGCACCTTTAAGATGTCATATTTTAGCCATTTTTGTATATAAGCATAATGTTCCCATTCCTTAGCATTTTGCCATTTGCCTCTTTCTGGCACTTTTTCTTATAATGAGCCACAACAGAAAGCAGACTGCAGTCCCCATCTGTATGCAAAGCAACTCAGCTTGCTGTTCAGAAACTCCTTTTTCCTCTCTCCCAACCATCAGCATTCAATTGTCCTCCCATCAGTTCCAATCATTCTTTTTCACCAGCAGCAGCTCATCCAGTTTCCAGGATAGCAAACTCCATTACTTTAAGAAATACATGGGTAGCTGCAAACAGGCCACTGAAGAAATTCATCTCCCTCTGTCCACACCAGATAGTCAAAGGAGAAAAAAAGGGAAATGTCACTAAAAAAACCCGAGGAGATGGAAACAAAAGCAAAATCTCATTCACCGTCAGCTTTAAAAATAATTAATCAGACAAAGCAAAACATCAGAATGACAGTTTTCCCTCTACATCTCATATAAAGGGTTACACAAGAGAGGAAGCATGCCAAATTTTCAGTAGTTTTCCAGTTAAATACAATTCATACTGAAGACCTTCACATTTCCGAGGCACTGTTGCACCATGTTTTTTTCTCCTGCCCCTCGCAATTGTTGCTTTGTTACTAAACCCAATACAATATTCAGTGTGTTTATCATGTAACTCAATTCCATACACCAACGAATAGCATTGTAATTTCAACTGGAGGAACAGGAATTTAAAGTTCATCTGTGCTCATGCAAACTACAGATTGCTTTTCCCTAAAATCATGACCTTATTGTCAAAGAAGAAAAACAGAGAAAATCATGAAATTCCTGACATGTACTATATGCTTTCCCTACTTTTTACCCCAGAGTAAAATCTAGTGATAGAGTAACATGGTGGCCTGGTAGTAAAGATTCTTACCTCCTGCTTGGAAGGTTGAGGGTTCAATACTAGGTAGCAGCAGATGTTTCCTAGGGCAATGGCCCCCAAACTTTTAGGCATCAGGGACTGGTTCTGTAGAGAGAGGTTTTTCTGTGGATCGGAGGGGGCATGGTTTCACATGCTTCCCGCATCCCATGGATGGGACTGCACTTCTTTGTGTGACCTGGTTACTGGCATGCCGCAGATTGGTGGATCAGGAATTGGGGATTCCTGCCCCAAGGCACAAAGGAAAAATATCTCCTGCAAACTCTGGGTGGCATCAGGAAGGGCATCTGGCTGGTAAATGCTCAACTCCATCCAGTTACCCCAACTCTATCTCAAATTAAGGGACCACAGAGTCATAAATATGAAGTTTTAATATCTGGTGATGCTGCTAGATTAGAATATATCTCACTCAATAATGCTTAGTAAAACAAGCAATAAAAATGATCTGAAAAATGATGGTAAAGTGAGAGAGAAATAGTAACAGAACAAATGGTCATAGAAACTACCATGTTCTTCTTAAGTGAGCCTGATGTTGCA